ACTAATTAACCCTTAGATTTTCCTTAAGTCATTGAATTGGATGGAATACGCATTAGCAACCAAATTATTCTTCAAAAGTTCCATACATGAACAACATAATAGAGATACAATCAAAGATCATTAAGCTTTGTGAAAATCATAAGCATTGACAAGGCATTCATAACTATGACATCATGATACTCATGCCAGGAATTTAACTTAACACGATCGTGACCAGCGACCTTCACTACTTGTGAATATAAGTTCATAACGATTATGTGAAACTCCCTTATATTCTAGCATCAAATTCATGCATGCAAACTAAGTGTGCACCCTTAATCAACATACAAGAATAAGTTCTTAATCCAACAGTTAAGCAAATTGCATTCACGATTTATGAAATCACAATTGGAGTTAATCAATTCATATTGCAAATATAATCATGGTTTCAAAGTCTCTTCTAGCCAAAACAAGTTTAGCCTCTCATGTTCACAACAAAACAAAGAAAACTTAAATTAAACATTGAAAACAAAGATTGAATACACCTAGAAACGCTCCAACAATCCAACAATCTTGAATGGCAAGCATGGCTCCAAAGGGTCTTCTCTCCTTCTTTTTTGATGCGGCACAAGGGTGAATGGGTGTGAAATTAGGTTGTGGTGGATGGATGGTAGGTGGTGCAGATATGGGTGTATGGAAGGGAAGAATGATTGGTGCGGCTGTGTGTTGGAGAGAATGGATGAATGGTTGCTGAATGGTGTACGGATTTGCGGCAGGAATATATATTAAGAAGGAAGAAACCCTAATTAATTTTAGGAAAGGATTTGGACTCTAAATCCTTAAGGAAAAAGGGTAGTTAAAATCAGAATCCTAGGGGAAAAGATAGGAAAGTTGCGGCAAGGACTTGGAAAGGGGAAAGGGGACACCTTGCACGGCAAGGGAAAGGGAAAAGGGTAAGGTGGTGCGGCATCCCTCTTTGACTAGGATTAGGGCTTCTACAACTTATATTCAAGTGTCCTAAATTAATTAGGAACCGCCTTGATAGCTGGAACATAAGTAGGAAAATATTAGGATTGACCAAGTCAAAAGAAGGAAGTTTGACTCATGTTTCCTACTTTGTGGCTGATTCCTTTTCTTCCAAGTCATGAATTAATTTCTTCCATCTCTTTAGCAGATTCCTAGCCTTCTTTGGTCTTCAATTTCGTCCATCCACCTTGCTCCAAGCATGTGTTATCTATTCCAAGCCCAAAATGCTCTAAATTGCACTTTCTTGCCACTTTTACCATTTGGACCTACAAACACACGAAAATAACTTAAAATACTAAAATAACTAAGAACTAACAACATAAATGCAAGGAAATAACCTAACTAAGTCGCATAAATATGCTCCTATCAGTACTTCGCATCCTTCAGGAAAACAAACTGTACATTAACTTCAAGAAGTGCAGTTTCTTCATCGATCGCCTACTATTCCTGGGGTATGTTGTGAGCTCAGATGGCATCCATGTAGAAAAAGAAGAAGATAAGAGCCGTTTAGGATTGGCCTAGCTCCCAAAAATGTATCTGAACTGCGAAGTTTCCATGGCCTTGCAACATTTTATCGACGGTTCGTAAGGAACTTTGGCACCATTGTAGTGACAATGACATAATGTTTGAAGAAGGGCAACTTTATTTAGGGTGATAAACAGGACAGCAGCTTTGCTTTAATTAAAGAAAAGCTATGCTCTGCTCCCGTCCTCAACTTACCCAACTTTGATAAGGCTTTTGATGTTGAATGTGATGCAAGCAGAGTGGGTATTAGAGTTGTTTTATCTCAAGAAAAATGTCCCATTGCATTTTTCAACGAGAAGCTCAGCGAAGCGAGGCAAAAATAGAGTACATATGCTCAAGAGTTTTATGTTGTCATTCGTGCTTTACACCAATGGGAGCACTACCTTGTTCAGAATGAATTTGTCTTATACATTGACCATCAGGCACTGAAGTGGGTCAATAATCAGAAAAGTATTGACAAGATGTATATGCGTGGGTGACTTATCTCGAAAAATTTCCTTTTGTTATCAAGCACCAATCTGATACGCTTAATCGAGTAGCCGATACGTTGAGCAGGAGAACCCAGTTATTGGTGACTTTGAGTAATGAGATTGTGGGGTTTGATTTCTTGAAGGAGATTTATGAGGAGGATGACAACTTTAAAGACATTTGGGCAAGGTGTCTCCGCTCCCATCCTCATTCTGACTTTCACATTACTGATGAGTTTCTTTTCAAGGGGCATAACTTGTGCATTCCACAATGTTCATTGCGGGAGAAGCTTATTCGAGACCTACATGGTGGTAGTTTAAGTGATTATCTTGGGCGTGATAAAACCATTGCAAGCTTGGCAGAGTGATACTACTGGCCACAACTCAAAAAAGACGTTATTGGCAACATAGTTCACAAGTGCTTCGTTTGTTAATCCTCCAAAGGTCAGTCCCAAAACATGGGTTTGTACATGCCATTACCTGTCCCTACTGATATTTGGCTAGATTTATCTATGGATTTTGTGTTGGGTCTTCCCCGAACCCAACGTGGAGTCGATTCAGTATTTGTGGTGGTTAACCAGTATTCGAAAATGGCACACTTTGTTGCTTGTCGTAAGACATCTGATGCATCTCACATTGGTCAATTGTTCTTTCGAGAGGTGGTGCGTCTTCATGGCGTTCCTCAGTCCGTTACTTCTAATCGGTATTCCAAGTTTCTTAGTTACTTCTGGATGACTTTGTGGATGATCTTTGGAACGACATTGAATCGGAGTAACACTGCCCACCCTCAAACGGATGGACAAACTGAAGTGACCAATCGGACTTTGGGTAATATGATTCGTTGTGTCTGTGGCGATAAACCCAAGCAATGGGATTTGGTGCTTGCTCAAGTTGAATTTGCTTACAATAGTGGTGTGCATACCGCAACCGACAAGTCACCATTTTCGATTGTCTATACTTCAGTTCCCTATCATGTGGTGGATCTTATAGGGCTTCCTCATGGCCCAGGAGTGAGTATTGCAGCTGAACATATGGTTGAAAGGGTTCAAGCAGTGAAGAACGAAGTTGCCGAGATACTTGCTCAAACGAATGCCAAAAACAAGGTTGCTGTTGATAAACACCGACACTCCAAGATTTTTCAAGTTGGTGATTCGGTCATGGTGTTCCTTCGAAAACAGCATTTTCCCATTGGTTAATATAGTAAGCTCCAACCTCGTAAGTTTGGCTCGTACAAGATTGTGCACAAAATCAATGACAACGCCTATGTGGTGGTTTGCCATCGTCAATGGGGATTTCTAGCACTTTCAATGTTGCTGATCTGCATCCTTTCTATCCTGATGATGTTCCGTTATATCCTGATCACTCGAAGACGAGTTCTTTTCAAGGAGATGAGACTGATGTCGAAATACAAAAACTGCTTGATGATGCGAACAATTTAGAAACGTCCCTAGTCATTTAGAGGGTCTTTCTTGATCAATGAGTATTTATTGTTGCTTGTCCTTTCATTTGCTTGAAACAAGCCTTTATAATCTCTTCATTTGCTTTGTAATGGATAGCTTTTGAATCAATACAAATTCAGAAACGAGAGTTTCTCTCACAACTTTCTGGAATTCCGGAGTTCTTTCAAGGGAGACCGTTCGTGATCCCTTTTCTTACAACTTCCACTGTGTCAGAAGGACCTCACAGATGGAGAGAGAGGCTCTCACAAACAGAGAAAAAATGAGAATTAAGAAACATTTTTGTGTGAACGAGGATTTGGATATATGCTTTCTTTGCTTCCTGTGACAATCTACATGTGGCGTCTGTTTGGGAAAGAAAAAAAAAAGAATTCACAAATTAAACCAGCTCACTTTTGAGGACAAATCTAATATCGATTAGTCATTTGGTTATATTTATTGTAGTGCGAGTATGATATCTAATCGAGAAAGTATCTTTGTACATTTTTTATTGTTTTTCTAAGGTGTGGTGCTATCAATAAACAAAAATTAAAGGATGTGTAGGAAGTAAAAGGAGTGTGAATAACGCGAGCCTTTTCCAAGTAAATACTAAGTGCATTGACAATCTTACACTTAAATAACTTGTGGGCTCTGGCTCAGAAATTTGCATTATTTCTTTGGTAATTATCCTCTCTTCTGGAAATTATTTCTCCTCCCTCTTATCATTTTCTTTTTGACAAAACCAATTATATACTAAGCCACTCTCAATTATGAGGAAATGAATTCAAATTTAGGTGCAAAAGGTGGAAAATAATTTCTTCAAAAAAAAAAAAAACCGTAGAAAAGTTTCTATTAAAAAAAAACATACACTTTATTTATAGACTTTAGACCATCGTCAATTTTTGAGAATAAAACTTACAAATTTAAGTCATAACCCACAAATTGTTTTTCTCCTCCAATAGTTAGGTTTAAAATTTTAAGCTCGAAATTATTAAATTAATTTAACCTTTATTTTTTTTTGGGTAACCTTTTTGAAAATAAAATTTATGTAGATTATCTTAATTTATTTTTGTGAACATTTTAATAAATAATTAAAAATCATACAAAATCATAGGTATATATGAAGTTTTAGGTGAAATTTGATGTTAACAAATTTTTTAAAATTATTTTAGACGTTAGATTTAATTTTGAGCCGTCAAATCCTTTTTTTATCGTTAAATTTGATCTCATTTTGATCACAGTTGTTGAATTATAAGTAAAAAAACAAAAAATGATTTGAAATATGACAATTTGATGGCTCGAAAATAATTTAAGCCACATAATTTCTAAAAGGAGTTTTGTCTTAAGATATACTTTCTCCTCAATGCTTATTTCAGCCCAATGGTTCTAGATGATTTAGAGAGGTTTAAAGCTTATATTTTAAATTTTATCCCATGAAAATGGTCACAGCTAAAGAAAATAAAGGGGCAGAAATGAACAAAAGTACGCAACACGGAAAAAAGTGTGCAAAGCCATTTTTTGTTGATTGTGGTTAAGTTGTGTGTCATTTCAGTGGAAAATTTGGGGATGAAGAGTAACTTGAGGTTTATTCCAGGTAAATTGAGGGTTGCAACATTTTTCAAACTATAATTTGACTCCTGACCCAACCCAACTACCTGCACTGCACCGATGCTTCTTCTCATCTACCATATAGGTTACATAATAACAGAACCAATGAGAAGGCAAAAACCAGAAACAAATAAACAATCAAAACAGACAAAATAATCGATCCTTTTCAACTCTAGTTCTTGACCCCAGTACAACCAACCGAGATAACTTCAAACACTTCACCGGAAACTTCGATAGGAAGGGCTGTACATACAGCTTTCAGCATACCTCTCCAGATCTCTTGGCTCGGGGAGGCGAGTAGCCAAACCTACAAAAGCCAAATGAAAAATACCAGACATTTAGGCCTAGTAGCACTAGCAGCAATATGCGCCCAATATCAGGCAGTTAGGTCGCATTAAAACCTGACGAGAAAAATTCCCAGGAAAAAAGTCTAACCAAGTTCATATGATTTCGCAGCTACTTTAGCAGCAATATGCGCCGAAATCTTTCTGATGTTTGTGAATGGAGGGTATATGAGTCCCTTGTCAAAATCTTCCTGGGTCACCATTGAAGCCAACGCTTCCGCTGTTCCAAGGAACAAACATAGCATAAGGTCTAAAAGCTTAAATAAATGAAAAATCCTTTACATTAATGTCTTTTGTGCACTTACAGGCTGCCAGAAGCATGTCGTCATGAACACGGATAGTACCAGACATTATTAAACCCAGACCGAATCCAGGGAAGATGTATGCATTGTTTGCCTGAATGACAACAAAATAAATGCCAAAGTCACTCCACAAGGTGTTATATATGTTATTTCTGGACATAATCGGATTTCTCTAGAATTTAATACCTGGCCGGGATAGTAAACCTTCCCATTATATTCAACTGGTGGGAATGGGCTTCCACTACAATACATGGCACGACCCTGAAATACGAGAAAGGAAACGAAATGTCAGTCTCTAACCATCACGTGTACCCTGAATTACACAATATTAAGCAAAACATGCAAGGGTTGAATTACCTCAGTCCATGTATATGCTTCTTCTGCAGTACATTCAGATTGTGATGTTGGGTTGGAAAGAGCGAGAATAATAGGTCTCTATTACAAGGTTACAAAAAGAAACGGTCAGCCCTTATCTTCTAGAGAGAAGAAATGCAATTTTGCACTAAGGCCATTAAGTAACATGCAATTTCTCAGCATGGCAATTAAACAAACTGATTTCTCAAATCCATACCAACAAGAACAGAAGAAATTCTAAACTTCTGGTCCCCGTATGGATGCTGGCAAACACAATAAAAATCTAAAGAACAATTTATGGAAAAGAGTTACCTCATTCAGGGAGGCCATAGCCTCAACCACTTCTTTAGTGAACGTTCTTCCTACTCCTGACGTTCCAATCAACACCGTTGGCTTGATTGACTGATTAAAAAGGAAGAAACAGTTTAGTCGCTTAAAAAACTTCGGCTTTATATGCCCTACTATGTTGTTTGTGTACTGTCAACAAATGTGCATCTCTGTGTGTTTGAAGATGGAAAGAGAAAGTGGACAGAGAGAGAGTGGACAGAGGGAGAGAGAGACAGAGATTTCACACCTTAACAGCATCTACAAGTTCCCTGACTGGTTCATGTTCATGAGCCCAGGGCTTTTTAAAGTGTTGGAGTGTATCCAGCCGAGAACTGACAATCAATCCCTGCAAATGAATTTCTTACCACATGAAAACTCTTGGAAAGAAAACAAAGTTCCATTGCGGACAGAAAGAATTTAGATCAGCTCCCCGTACCTTTGAGTCCACAAGCCAAATGTTCTTGCGGGTCTCTTCCACTGGGGTATTTGTCTGCAATAATTCAGGTGCTATGCATCAAAAACTATTCTAATACATTTCTTTACAATTAATACTGAGCATCTTTTTTAGTACAAAGTAAAAGAAACAAAAAGTAGCTTATAACCTGCTTGGAAACTTCAAGGGCAATGAGTTCTGCTATGCCAGTGCCGGCCTGAAACCATTAAACAAGTGAGTGAGACAAGACCATAAAGTCCTAGCACATGGGACATCAGTAAGGGTTAGAGAACAAGGACCAAAGAAACTATACATGAAAAAAAAAAAATCAAAAAGAGGTGAGTGTTGGTTGCGGGATGCCCTTTCTACTACTCTTTAACATTAATGAAAAGGATCCCTTGACTAAGGATAGTACTCACCTCTCCAGCACCAAGGAATAAAAATCTGTGTTCAGATAAAGATCCCTTTACTAACTTCAAAGCTGCAAGAAGCCCGGCCAGAACTACGGACGCTGTCCCCTGGAATGAATTGCTTACACAAGCATTAGAGATGTTCTTTCCTCAATTACTCATAATAATTACTACAAATACAATTATTAAAAATCTCTTGCAACTTACCTGAATGTCGTCATTAAAAACAAGATGAGTTGAGGCATACTTTGCAAGCAGTTCAAAAGCATTGTGGTTTGCAAAGTCTTCAAACTACAGAGCATGACAAATGGACTTAGGAACGCTTGAGTAAAAACAAAATATGACTAAGTTCAGCGCAATAACCAAATAATTGAAAACTGACTTTGTCTACCAAATACCTGAACGAGAACTTTCTCCCCGTAATTCTGCTTGACTGCAGTCATGAACTCATGTAGGAGTTCGGCATATTCCTAAAGAAAGAAGAGAAAACCCCACTTTGGTAAGGCAGAAAAAAAAAAAAAAAAAAAAAAAAAAAAACACTCATCTCAAATGATTCGAACACTAAACATGTAAAGCAAACATATCATAAACCTGCCCAGTAGCCCTTTTTTGCCTCAGCCCAATGTAGAACTCATCATTCAACAGCTTCTCATTGTTTGTACCAACATCAATGGTTACAGGCAAGCACTGAAAAACATGGCAAAGAAATCATATTAGAACCAATATTAAAGATAAATGGTTCAAATGTCGAGGACTTCTAAACATATTTCTGAACAAAAGAAATGCATTACAGTAACTTTGAGATACAATGGATTTTTAACTCAGCACCACTAGAAGGAATAGCGTTGGTCATCACAGATACTTACAGCAGAAGGACGAACTCCTCCAAGTGCCGTGTATAGAGCAAGTTTACCCACAGGAATACCCATTCCCTGAGAAAATATCACATATTGTTATCAGTTGACTACTTACAGGGACAGGGAGTACAGCAAGAACAAGCAATATTCTCTTTGAAGGCAAGGTATCTCATATTGTCTTTTATCACCACAACTAGTAAAAAAATTTAATGGTGTTTACATGACAGCCAAGATCCCCGAGCCCTAGGATCCGCTCTCCATCAGTGACAACAATGACTTGAATATTCTTCTCAGGCCAGTTCCTCAATACTTCAAGAATCTTGCCCCTTAGAGATTGCAAGGAAAAAAAGGATAGCAATAAGCTTCAACCCAATTTGGAAGTGGCCATCAAAGTAGAGAACAAAATTAAATTGCAATGAAACATACTTTTCTTTCAAACTTATGAAAAGACCCTGTGGTTGCGTAAAGATGCTTCCATATTTCTGGCAAGCTTCACCGACAGTAGGAGTATAGACAACTGGAAGTAATTCCTCAATATGTTCAATAAGAAGCTTGTAGAATAGCTTTTCATTTCTCCCCTGGAAGCATACGTAATTGAAAGTTTAAATCTCGCCATTTCAGCAGCAAAAGGTTGGGGTCTCAAACGAAAATTTCATTGAAATGATTATTGGTAACCTGAAGATCCATCATAGCGATATACTTCTGCAGTGGAACTTGATACCGACGGATACTGTTGATCATTTTCTTAACCTGTCAAGTAGATTAGAGATAAAGTGTAAATGATTATCATTTTCATATAAAATAAGTATACAAAAAGCATGGAACTCTGAAAGCATGTACAAGCTGATTAGAAGACCTGAAGTTCTTGAGAAATAACAACTGGGGGAAGAAGACCACGCAAGTAGTGGGCATCTCTCTCTTTCTCTGTGAAAGCAAGACCTTTGTTGTGGTGTGGAGATCGTATCAACGTATATCCACTGCAAGGAAAGCCAAGAGAGTGATTTATACAAAGGTGCCAAAAATACAAATAGCAAAGAGAATTTCTGTTTAACATATATAAAGTTTACCACAGAACTACATTGAGAGGTTGGGAACAAAATTGCATATTACGTAAAATTAATTCCTTTCATTTCTTTGAAACAAACCCCAAAGGGAAAATTCGTGCAACTTAAACTAAGGAACGAAAACATCATGAGCAAACAAAACACGTCTTTTTCACCAGAAAATTATTCAACACATTCCGCCTGAATGAGGTGGACGTGGAGCTTTTTTATCATGCTGCATGTAAATCACGGCCCCACCCCCAATATGGCAAGCGAAGCACAACCATAGAAGGTTGCATTAGACTTTCTTTCTGGCAGCTTGTTAAAGATTCTTAATGACATTTTGTTTCTATGTGTCACTACTACTTTTTCGTACATGGCTAATCTGATACCCAGAATTCAGTTACCTAGTAAAAGAACCAAATCAAAAAATTTAACAAGTACAAAAACAAAAAGCCATCAACAACAATCTGAAAGAGCCCAAAACATAAATGATTACTTAATTAATTTATCCATTACTTTCCTCACAGAAAAATCGCATTTGTAACATCCAACACGGATTCACAATCAAGGATGTAATCCAAAACTATCAAAATCCCAGAATACATTAATTATGAAAGGAACCAAATCAGCAATTCATTCGATATATTAAAAAAATAAACATAAAGGTTCCAATAAAACAATTTACAAAATATGTGATATCTCAAATATATAAATTCATAATTAGTTAGAGATACAACTATGAAGTGATTCTCATGGAGGTCTCGGTTCGGGTAGTTATGAAACTTCATTCATAGTCAATATAAACATACACACACATTAACTAATTTGGGTTTTTTTTTTTTTTCAACGACATATTTACATAAAGAGGTGGGCGATTTAGGCTAAGCAACACAATGGACAACTATATTAATTTGATATCAAACTCAGTTATCCACGGGTGTCCAACTTAAAACCTCCAACTTACAAGTACAAGATCACCATTGGGTGACACAAATTAACCAATCAAGCAGCTGCTCAAACAATTCAGCAAGCAACACACATCATGTAGAGATATCACTTAAAATAACATAAAATAATGCGACTTCCACAAATACAAAAAGAACATAGATTTCATCGAAACTAAAATAATTTTAAACAACCACACCACAATAACAGTAAACAATGATAATATCAATAACAATCGTAAGCATAATCGATCTTTGCTCTCACCCACCTAGCAACCGAGATACTCCAAGGCGTGACGAGTTGGTCCTCGGTGGCAGTATCCTCACCGTACACGTCTTGTACCCCACCATGGACGGTAGATTTCAGCTCAACCACCTCGGATTCGGCCTTCACCTCCTGCAATGCGTTCTCCATCACAACGCTACCGTTTCGGTCGCCTGTCCGGACTTTTGGGACCACAGCCACCACTTTTAGCGATGCTGACCGCCTCTTCTGGCTCTGAGAGAACGGGCTTGAAGACCCAGAAATGCCCGGGTTCCCCTGCAAAAGCAATAAAATTAATTAATTAATTATAAAAAAAATGAACGAAAAATTGCAAGAGAAAAAGAAAACCCAGAAATGGAAATTTCATTCACCAAGAAATTGGCAATCAGAAAGTTGGAAAGATTTGAAATTTCAATGTGGGAAAGAAGAAAAAGGAAGACCCATAAACTGATTTTTTTTTTTTTTTCCTTCTGAATTTTAATTGGATTTTATCTTTTTGTGATTGAATCTTGTGAAGTGGGTGCGCATGAAATTGTGATCTGACAAATAGGTTTGCTTTATATTACCAGAAAACAGCTTCTATTCAAGGACATCATGGCGACAGATTTGTGAAGGGGAGAGTCTTTCGCTGGCTTTTGTATTCACTACTGCAGAAGCCCAGAGAGAGAGAGAGAGAGAGAGAGAGAGAGTCTTTAGGATCGATGAGCTCTCCTTGCTTGACTCCTTCTCTCTGTCTCTCTCTCTTATACCTGAATTTGTGAAACCAAAAAGCAGAGAGAGATCAAGAAATGGGTAAATGAAGCAGCTTAAAAACTGTGACCTTCCCTTCTCTTGCAAAATTAATTTGTATGGCCCATTGATTTTTCTCCCAGATTACTAAAACACCCTTGCATTTTTATATCTGTATTTATTCATTAATTTCACTTGGGTTTATGATAGAGAAGGGTGGAAAGAGATCCTCTCTAGATCTTTCCTTCCAAAGCTCAGGGATTAAGTAATTCATACTAAATTTATAGATAAAAAACGAAACGACATGAAAGTTGATAATTGAATAATTACTTTAGTGTTCATTAACGTACTCATTTCTTATTGGTGATATATCATTTGATTTGTAAATGTGATCTACATTTTTAGTCCACTTAGTACTACTCGAGAAGGGTAATTTATTTGTATATTACACTAAAACCTCTATACAGCCATAATGTTCGGACTAAACTATTTTAGGGGTACTTTGATCTAGTTTCAAAAGTTTGAGGAAAACTAACGAAAAGTCAAAAAAAAACTTTAGTTTTAATGAAAAATGAAAATTAAAGGTGTAAGTGAATGGTATTAGGAAAGGTAAAAATGTGGTTTTTCGTTAAAATTTCCTAGTTTGAGTTGCTGTTGGATTTAGTCTAATTTTTTTTCAACTTTAATTAAATTTTTTTAATGGGTAAATTACATTTTACCCCCTCAGGTTTGGGGTAAATTTCAATTCTTTACAACATCTTTAAAACATTTCAATTTCATACATTTACTTATCATTTTATTTCAATTTCATACATCCGTTAGAAAATCTGTTAAGTAAACTATTAAGTGATGACATGGCAAATATGGAATCCACATTTATGCTGATGTGGCTATCAAATATGTGCTACATGGCAAAAAAAAAATTATGCATTTAAAATATTATAATAATTTACCCTATAAAAAAAACTCATCTTCTTCCCCAAGCCCTTCCCTTTCTCTACAAGCCAAACACCCCATCCCATCCTACCCCACCCCCACCTCCCTCGCAACACCCCCCCCCAACCCAACCCCCCCCACCACCCAAACCCAAAACCCACCACAAACTTCTCTGACACCACCTCCGCCATCTTCTCCTTTAGCAAAGCTCCACCACACCCTTTGACCAAATTGAGATTTAGGTCGACCATATCGGCTCTGTTGACCCAACTAGCGAGCTTGGTCCTCTGTGCGTTTGGAAGTCGGGACTCCAATAATGTCCTTCAATTTGCCGGATTTGAGGAGCTCGCCGAGATTGGAGACCACAAAGGAGGTGGTGGAGCCAATGCCGAGGTCAAGGAACATTCCAAATGTGACATACTCGACAACCTTGTCGATGACGAGCTTCTTAAGGCATTGTGGGGGGAGAGGAGGGATAGGGATGAGGAAGCCATTAGAGAGGTGGAGAGAAAAGTGGGTCGAGGGAAGAGAGGGTGGGGGTTGCAGAGAGGTGAGGGGGAAGGAAGGGGATCTAGGTGTGGGTTTGGGTTTTTTTATAAATAGGGTAAATTATTACAATATTTTAAATATATAAAAAATTATTTTTTTGCCATATGGCACAAATTTGGCAGTCATGTCAGCTCTTAACGGACCAATGCATGGAAAATGTAACGGATGTATTATATTGAAATAAAATAATATGTGAGGTGTGAAAGTGGAATTTTTTGAAGATGTTGTATGAAGTTGCAATAGATCTCAAACCTGAGATAGTAAAGTGTAATTTACCTTTTTATAATTTATGCATCTTTACTCATATATTTAATTTAAATACTAAAATATGAAAATTTAATCACTTCCATGAAAGATGGCTACTAGACAATTTATATGTCATCATATATAATATCCATATCATAGGTTGATAAAACACATTTAACTATGATAGATGTATCTACGAAAATAAATAAAATTTAATCTATCTATCATTTTTTTAAATAGTTCAAAGAAGTTTCTTCTTCCATCCATTTATAAATCTATAATAGTATATATGCTAATATGTGACATCCCGTCCCGAAACGATCGAACCGTACGTGTGAAATGACCATTTTACCCCTAGTTTGTTCTATTAGGTTTTTGGTGTTTTGTGTGGTGTGGACAGTTGTGGGGGTCACACACACACACATTCACACTTGCTATCTCTCTCTCCCTCTGACTTTCCTCTCTCTCTCTCCCCCGAGCTCCATTTCTCCTCCTTCCCTTTGAAAACGTACGGACAAACCCACAACCCACACAATCCTAACAGATCGTGGAAACCAGCTACACCATTCAACTCGTAAGGTCGAGGCGAGCTCAACCATACCATTTTCAGGTGAGGAATACTTCGTTTTCACGTCGATTCAACAATGGCCGAATTGAGTACTGTTCATGCAAGTTTTATACATTGTGTTTTTGGGCTTTTTAAGCTTGTAGTTGTGTTAGAGAGACCTCAAGGAGCTTGGGAACGCTTCGTTGGGTGAATTTGGACGTCGGGAAAGCTTAGTTTCAAAGTTGGCCGAACTTGGATCGTTGTTGCAGGTGACACGTATCCCGAGGACGAGCGTGCACATTCGAGGCAGGGGGGCTACGACCCTTCTACATACCAGTGAGTGGGCTTTTGTTTTCCGTATATACCTATATACATTTATATTCCCAGAAATTGATTTAAAAAGGGTTATTTGCCTTATGCCATGTACTTTATTATTTATCGTTTATACATCGTTGCATGCATCATTTGTGGCGTACATATACATATGCATATGTCATATATATATTTATGTGTGGGTGCTGTGGAGGCATAGGTAAGTGCCAGGTAAGCGTTAATTAACGATTGCATTAAATAGTGGTTAGAGATGATCAGAGAGCTCATAACCTGCACCCCCGGTGTTAGTGCTTCTGCCCAGAGTAGGGCACAGTCCTTCACGTGTTGTTCACCTCCCGCACCATACGCTCAGCTTGGATCCAAGTTAGGTGCATAGGCCTGTCGTACAGACCACAGTAGGTGGTTCCGACTCGTAGGTGACCCGCGATTATTCGCACAGCCTTCACGTGATCGTAGCACTAGAGCGTATATACATGTTACACCCAGGCCTGTCGTACAGACCCTTTAGGTGGTTCCGACTCGTGGGCAGGTTTAGTTATTGAGATTGACAGTTGAGCTCTATATACAGCCGTACAGGTCACGTTAGGTGACTCCGGCTGCCAGAGGATTGTGTGATTGATACGACTTACACCTGAGCACTTGCATATCATTAGGAGATTTTGTCATAGCATATATTGAGCATGTTGGCATACCCTTGAGCATGTTTGAGCATATCTATACATACGTACATATGTTATTTTCTGGGACGTATACAGGTTTTACGGCGAGGGGTTAGATTGTGTTTTGCTAAATGGTTTTCAAAGAGCTTTGTTTTTGCCCACTCACGCTTTTGTTTTGCGCCCCTCCAGGTTCTAGTTGCTTAGCCGTTGCGGTGGTTTCCCTTGCGAGCTTTTCGGCGTTCTGACAGACACTCTACATTGTAGGTTCGCCTTCGGGCGTACTACGGTTGTTATTTTATTTGGACTGCTATAGACCTGCTCTGAATTTGTATCACACTAACTAGCACTTATCCTAGTACTAGAATGCTAGTTTTTAATTATTCGTACTTTTATATTACTACTCTATTAGCTTCCGCACGTGCACATGGCTACGTCGCCTTCGTGTGACGGCCAGCACGCTCCTACCTCGGTCGGGGTGTGTCAGTTTGGTATCAGAGCCTAGGTTTGGCAGTCCTGTGTCCTTGTGAGTATTCTAATAATTTTGGTGTCTTCTGTCAGAACTATGCCGCCTCGTCGGGAACCCCGTCGCTCTTCTGAGCCTATGTTCCCCGATATTACTCAATTGGGGGAAGCTTTTGCTACAGCCCTTCAGGCAGTGATGCGCCCTCCCCAGAGGACTCCTCTGGAAACTATGTACAATCTGAAGTTGGATAAGTTTAAGGGCAGTGAGGGACCCGAGAACGCGGAGCGCTGGCTAGAACACATAGAGAAGACTTTTCGGGTGCTACATAATCAGGGGAACTTGCCTATGGAGAGATGGGTTGAGACGACCGCTTGGTTTCTTGATACGGAGTCGGCAGCTTGGTGGGAGCAGGAGCTTCGTAGGTTGACTCCGGATCAGAGGGTCGAGTGGAATGTTTTTACGAGGTTGTTTAGGAGAAGGTATGTGCCCCCTGAGTATATTGACCGTAAGAAACAGGAGTTTTCCGAACTGAAACAGCGGAAGATGTCAGCGAATGAGTACTACCGTAAGTTTACGGACTTGTCCCGTTACCACCCTGATGTCGCTGGTAATCCGGCAGAGATGCTCCGTCTTTTCCGTTTGGGCACTAGGAAGAAATGGCGTTCTATGGCGTCTGCAATCCACAGCGAGACTTACCGGGACTTCTATGAGATACTGCTGAGGATCGAAGATTCGGAGAATATGTCGAGCGATACTGATGAAGAAAAGGACGGCAACCAGAAGAAAGATGACAAAGGTAAAGGTCAAGCATCGCTTGGGCCCCGTCAGACTCAGAACTTCAAGAGAGGTGGAGCTAGTTCTAGTTCTTCGAGTGGTGGCTTCAGTGCCACTGGGCAGGGTCGTGGAGGTAGATTTTCTGGTGGCGCTAGAGGCCAGAGGCAGGGCGATGGTGGGCGAGGCAGAGCCCCAGTTTGCCGTAGGTGTAACAACCGGCATTTCGGTGAGTGTAGACGTGGTAGCAACGGTTGCTTCACATGTGGACAGGTGGGACATAGAGCGGCACATTGTCCCCAGGGCCAGCAGCAACAGAAACCACAGCAGACCTTTATGCCACCACCTGCACCACTCCAGCAGATCCAGGGTCCTAGTAGCTACGGCCAGACGAGTCGAGGTGGTGCTTACCACTATCAGGGCGATGCTGTCCCTTATGCTCCGGGGCAGTATCAGTATCCCCAGGACCCCTACTCCCAGGGTAGTTACCCTCAGTATTCGGGCGGCTATATGCCGTATCCTCCAGCTCCAGCCGGCACTTCTCAATGGTATCAGGG